TGAAATTTTCGAAAATATTGAAAAAATTTTTGTTGATGTTGTTGGCATTTTCTGTAGATAGTGTAATGTTTTGTTGTTGTTGATTGTTTAAATTTTGGTCGTCTTCAGGTGGTGTTTTGTGTTTGTTAATTTGTTGTTCTGTTTGATTTTCGTTGTTTTTTTTATGGCATATTAGTATGTTGATGTTTGTGTTGATAAAGGTTGAATAAATTATTTGTCTGACTATGTTCCAGTTTTTTTTATCCAAGCCTGATGCTATCTTGGGCATTGCGATTTCAGTGTCGTGACGATTTAGCAGTTATAGTTTTAAATTGTTCAGGGTTCTTCTTATGTCATAATAATTTGGTTTATCGAAGTAGTTTATTTTTGTTATTAAAAAGTAAATGACTCTGTTGTTTGAAACAAGTGGAATGGCGTCTCCTACTTGTGGGTTTAATTGTGACAATGATGAGGTTAGTCTACCATATTTTTTACAGATGTCCAATGCTAAGCCATTGTTCATTTTTAGGTCAGCTGAAATGCAATGAGCGATTGAGTAATTTTCAGGGGCATCAAGTAGATCGATAGTTTTTTCGATGAAGTTGACGTTTATTTGATTAACATTTTGATGGTGTATGAAATATGTTTTTACTACATTTGTATTGTTTAATATAAGAAGCTGATTATCAAAATCAATTAAGCTATTATTTTTTTCTAAGAAATCGTTTCCGAGAAGTATTGGACAAGATAAATTTTCGATTGCATGCACTAAAATGTTATAGTTTATTGACATTATTGACAAAACAATGTTTGTTGTACCAAGAACGTTTAGTGGTGTATTATCAGGTCCCCTTATTTGTAAAGTACAAGTGTTCATGATTGTGTCTGGTGGTAATAAATTGTGTGTGATACATGATATATTTGACCCTGTATCAATAGTTATTGGAAATATTTTATTTACAAAAGAAGCGTAAAAATGTAAAGCAATAGGAATAGGAGTTTTTGTTAAATTATTAATGCAATTATTTGCTGAATGAAAAGGTGAACTGTTAATTTCAGCATGCTCGTTTAACCTTGATTCAAGTTTTTTTGGTTTTTTTGACAAAAAGGAGCAGTATGACCCACAGATTCACACAATTGGCAAATAATTTTGTCATTCCTATAAAAGCATTCATCGGAGTTATGATTAGTTTTTTTGCATATTTTGCATTTTATGTGTATTGCATTTTATTTGTGGACTGATATTGGTAGTTGTTACCCTTAGGTTTATAAGTAATATTTTTGAATTGAAATTTTGTGTATTAAGATGATCGAAATTTTGTGTATTAAAATTATTATTAGAGTTTGTGAAATTTGGATATTGTTTGTATGCTGGTGTGTTATAATGAGTGTTAGGAGTGTAATTGTAATCTCTATTGTGAGGGTAAGTGTAAGCATTACTCCTAAAATTACTGTTTGAATTAAAATACGAAGTGTCCTGCTGATTAAATGGTGTGTTGTATTTTCTTTGTGGTGTGTAATTATTATGAAATTGTCTATTTGTAAATGAAGGATTATTTTGACGATTACGAGCAGGTTGGCGCGAGTTTTGGTCTTTATAAAAATTGTTGTTGTTTGAGTTATTATTGTGATATTTGTTATTTGTGAGATTAATGTGTTCATTAATGTTTTGCAGATTTTGTTTTAATACTGTTATTTCGTTGCTAATTTGTTGTAATTGGTCATTATCGTTAATTTTTGTTATTTTGTTGATTTTTTCACTTATAATAGATTGCTTAATTTCATACGGACTCTTAAATGTGTCACCTGTGATCATAAATTCTATCATTTCATATTTTTGAATGTTCTTTTTTAACTCATCCAAATTGCGATTTTCAAGAATACCTATGTATCTAGCAATGTTGGGTTTTAATCCTTTCATAACGTTTCTTACAATCTCCTCTTCGCTCATATTATTATCAATCCTTTTACATAAAGCAACTGTTTCATTTATGAATACTACTGTTTGCTCGTCTTCCATTTGTCTCCTCCTTTCTAATAAAATACGTAACATGTCGCCTTGCGCGATGGGTTCGAATTCTTCTCTTAATTTTTTTTCTAGCTCACACCAGGGTAAATTTTTTGATTCTATATTGTCATAAAATGTCAAAGCGGGTCCTTGTAAGAAGGCTACTAGGTATTTGGGTTTGTCCTGTTCTGACCAATTGTTAATCGACGCCGCTCTATTGAAGGTTTTTAGAAAAGTGTCTACTCGCTCATTTATACCGCCCGAAAATGTGTTAGGGTTAAAATACGGTGTTTTTTTGTTGTCCATTGTTATTTTATTTACTATTGGTTTTTGTGTGTTAAGTATTTGGTTAAAATTTAGTTCTTTTTCTCTATCATTCGTCAATACATACATAAGTAACTTAGTCCTTAATTCAGATACCTTACCCGTTGATGTAAGATTTCTTTTCTCTAACTCTGTTTCTAATTCCGCTTTTTTTAGCCTATTTATAAATTCTACAATTTTTCTCTGTTCTTCAGTTGCACCTTCTATTTCAAGTGTTCCTGCTTCTTCAACATTAGAGTTATTTTCCATTATTTATAAAACTTAAATCCTTTTATAATTACAAAAAATTTTTTATAATAATTGAGTTAAAAATAATTTCAGTGTGCAATATGTTAATTACACTGAAAATTATTTCTGTATGTTTATTTTTTTATATTTGGGAACCTCTCTCTTTTTTTTTATATATGTTTGTTAAATTCTCTCTTTTTTTTTTTTATATATATCTTTTTATTTTCTTTCAACTAATTTAAAATTATCTTTTTTTTTTTTATGCAATAAATTTTCTAGGTGTTTTTATTCTTCTAACTATCTATTTTTTGTGAAATGCAATTTTTTTTTTTTTAATTTTTTGTAACTTATCTCTTTCTCTTCTTTCTTTTTTTTTTTATACTCTAATTAGTTCTTTATTTTTTTTTTTTACTCTTTCTCTTATTAGTTTTTACTATTCAAAAAATTTTTTTATTAATTCTTTATTATCTTGTCACTTTTTTCATTCTTACCCTTTTTTTTTTTTATATAAACTCTTTAATGATTTATTTTTTTACCTTATTATTATTTTTTATTCGCTTTATTAATTCTTTGTTTTATTTTCTCTAATTTTTCTTTCTCTTTCTTCTTCTTTTTTTTTATGCTGTTTCGATCTACTCTGCTTTCATACGTCTCTCTATACACTAAAAATTTTGTTCTCCCTTGCCTGTATTTTGTAAAAGTGTAATGTGTTACTATTGTTAGATATTTACGAAATTGTGAAATAGTTAAGAAGACCCTTAGTTTAAAAAAAAACTAAGCTTATAGTTGGGCGCCAGTTTGTTGTAAAACAAAAATAAAAATAAGGAATAGTGTTCTAAAAATTAAAAGGTGTCAGAATGATTATTATTGTTGGTGTAAAAAAATGTGTAAGTGAGAGTTACTTTTTTGGGGTGTGTTGTTCGAGGGTCACTTGCTATCTTAAGTACGTGCACAATAAATTGAAATGTTCTTACCTTAATTATATAATCCTCACTGATGCAATAATTTACTCGTGGAGTAATGAAGAAAGTATGAATTATAATAACCAATTTGTAAAAAAAAAATATCTTCGATTATTTTATTATCAAAAACACATAATACAATAATAGTAAAGGAAAAACAAACAAAACTAAAAAAAATACAAAATTGGTTTAAAAGGCGAAAGAGAGCCGGACGATGATCGCGACGTGATCGTAAGTCGGTTGGATCGGAACAGGACGAGGACATGTGCCCAGGGATATTCTTATTGTATTCCCCGGATCCCCTTCCACAGATGTGTATGATTATCGTCCAGCTCTTATTGGGTTTTACATTTTTATGATACGTTATTGATCAGGGTTTTTGTAAGTGTTTTGAAGGAGCGGATGTTTGTGGCGTGATCGTGGGAGTAGTGTTTTAGAGGATAGACGGTGTTTATTATGTTTTATATGTTATGTGAAAAGATATTGTGTTGTAAAAGAATTTCTATATGTGTTGAGAAGTGAATAAGAAGAAAACAGAAGACTAGATTGTTTATGTGTGTAGGGCCTATTACAACATCTGAAACTTTTGCCTTTTAACATTATAACTTGCCAATTACTTTATTTTAAGAACTACATGGTAATAGTGTAACAAATTTTAAATTTATCTAATTAATCATAGTGGATTCTTCAAGGGTTCATTTACTATAATATATTATTTGTGTTAATTATTGTAAGAGTTTTTTATATATTGAATCTGAATAGGACCTTCAAGAAAAAGTAAAAATCAGTGCAAAATGTAGTTTAATATCTGTTGGTGAATTAGAAAAATCATTAGTAGGACAAAGAAAAATGTTTCCCAATAGTATCAAAGAGTGTGGTACACTTGTTTCACATAACAATAAAAGTAGTTATATAAACTACTACTTTTATTATTTGTAAAATTAAAATATTTATTTTAGACCATGTGATTCATCTTGATGTGAATGAATGTTATCGTAATCGTATGTTCTGTAATACAATTTGGCAAGCATCTAGATTTGTTTTGATGTGGGCAATTGAGAAAAGAGTTATTGAATATGATTTTCCTAAGCCCATAACAGTTAGACAACAATGGATAATGAGTCGATTAGTTGATACCGTGTTACAATCAAATGCTAAACTTAAGAACTATAATATATATATATATAGCTACTACCAAAATTAGAAAATTTTTTTATAATGACTTTTGTGATATTTTTCTAGTATGTAACTGTTCGTCTACAGGCTCCTAAATCTCGGTTGGCCTGATTGACTTAGGACGTGAATTCAAGGAAACCCCAATAAGTTATTAAATAAGAAACTCGAAAGGAATTTGTCTATAATAATAATATTGGTTTAATTAATAATAAACTTTATGGGTGGGCGTCCCCACTTACATTCATCACGACAACTAAATAATACACTGCAATAAAATAAGTACAAATATAAATTTTAAGTGCTATAGAATACAATAATCTGACCTGGGCAGACATTAATGATTGGATTATAACTGTTATATTCAACCAACTTCAATCGTTTGAATGAAACAAAACACGAGTAAACTATAATGATCACGCGCCCGGTAAATCCACCGAATTCACCTTTACATTACGATACCGCAAGTCGCGGAAAAAACTCGTGGCGGCGCCAATGGGTCTAATCACTAGACTATACAATGGTTGACTGACTAGATAAGGCGACGACTTACGGGACAGCGAACGGCATCCCCACTTACTATATGTAACCGGTTCCATTCGGGCCACAAGCTGAACATAACCACATAACTTGCCGCAACAGTAACTTAAAAGTTATAGTAAAAATCAATGAGAGACAAACATTTTATTAATTCCATTATTTAAAAATAGGAAATGTGCTAGCCAACTTTTCAGTATGGTTCAAAGTTAGAAATTAAAACAGCTTGTGAAGTATTGCTTTATACTTTAGATACTTCTTTTAGACTAATACACCCTATAATGCCATTTTTAACAAAAACTCTATACAATTTTCTACCTGGTAAACAAGGAAAATATTTAGAATATCCTAAAAGTAGTGAGGTATGTTTTAATAATTTTTAATTGTATGATTACCTTAAGTGTTTAAACTATTTTGTTTAGTATGCAGATTGGTGTGATAAAAAATTAGATGATGAAATGATTATAGTTAAGGATGTAATAACAGCAATCAGAAGGGTACGATCTATTAATAATTTCAATAAAGATCAATCTGAAAGTAATATTACATTTCTATTTTAATAGAATATATATTTATATATATGTATTTAAACCTTTGTAGTTATTTTAATTACAAAACATCAAGAGTTACTAAAAAAGTTTGAAGATATTATTCAAAATCTATGTGGTTCAAAGTCTTTGTGTTTCATGAACAAAAATGAAATTTATAATATTCAATCAATTACTGATTTTGTTGAGGATCATACAGAAATTCATCTTCTACTTAAAGTAAATTTTTAAATTATAATTTTGTGTTAAAAATTTAGCTCTACTTAAAATCTTTGAGGTGTTATTAAGTTAAAGTTATAAATTGAAAAATATGATCATCCTAATATTTGTTTTATTATTCCGAAAAATAAAGTAGTATAATTATAAAGGAAAAATAAATATTTTAAACTTTTTTCACTCTTTGGACAAGAAAATTTTCATGATTGAGATTAAATTTCATTCAGTTCTCAGTTAAATAAATGTGAAAGATGTATTGCAAATAATGAATATTTTATTTATACTTGATATTATTTATATAATACTTTTTGCATTTTTCTTTTGATGAAGGTGAATTAAATTTGTTTTTATTCAAAACTTTTTTACTTTTATCATTTATCTATATTTTGTTCTGGCAACTTTTTATCATAAAAAAATTATGCCACGAGAGTGTTTTGATTTTTGTTATAGTGGAGATATTTTGATTCTTAAATTTGTATATAAATTATTTATTTTTTTAAATATTTGTCAAAATTTTTTTTTTTAATTGTATACATTTTTTTAGGGAAATAGTCTAAAATATAAAAAGTATTATAGTTTATTAAATTTAAGGAGACAACGACTTGACAAACAAATTGCCAAAGCTGAAAAAACTTTTTTAATGAAAATTGTTGTAAGTTTAAAATATGCGAAGATCAAGAAACAAGAGATAATAAGGTATTTATTTAAATATTTTTTATTCTTTAATTTTTTTAGTTTTTAAACTATATTGATCTGCCTCAATTTTAGAGATTATTAAATACATAGATTCCTAAAATCCTTATTAAAAAAAAATACCCAATAATTTATGATAAAATTTTCATTAAATATAATTTAATGATATATTATACTTATATTTTTTCAAGTTAACTTTATAGCTTTAATTTTTTATTTTATTTATCTAAATAACTAGTAATTAGATACATATGTTTGGAAGTATGGGGTACTGGGTTTAATCCCAAGGGTGCCAACGAAGTTTCATGTGATTTTCTCATTGGTGGTGTCTGGTTTCTGGTGCAACCAAACCATAATACCTGTCCCGTCCATCATTCGTCTAGCAAAGAAACATTTTTTACCCCCTAACATGTAAAAGAGGGCCACCACCTTCTGTACCATGTTAAGTTGGGAAATAGAAGGATGTAAAACAGATCATTATTTGTCTAAATTTTCCTAAAATATTTTATATTGATTGAAATATTACTATTTAAATTGTTCACAGTTGCATTCACTGAAAAAAGAACTTGAAAGAGTAAATATGTATATAAATACTTAAAAAAATAAAAAAAAAAAATAGAAGAATATGAAGTTTAATGAAACATGTTATATACCTTTGATAAAACAACAATTTAATAAATTGACTTATAAATTCACTAATTTGTTGATTTTAATTATTTAGTTTCTTAGTTCTATTTAGTAAATTATTATTTCAATAATTTTTAAAAACTTGTTAAATGATTCATAGGATTTATATTTTTTATTCGTCTTTATAACAAATGGAGTAGGATTGTCATTGTTTCACTTTTTCACGAGTAGTTTATTGCAAATTTAATACAATAATGAAACTAATATAACAACCCTAAAAATGATCACCATTTTATTCTAAAGTAACAAGATTCAGAAAAAATGTCGGCCATTAATTGTAAAAAAAATGATTTTAATTGACCTTGTGTATTAAATAGTAATAAGAATATATTATTATTAGTATTTATTTATAATTAATTTGAATGATAATCAGACATGAAGCAATAAAATTAATTTTAAAAAATGTCAACAATTTTTTGACCTCGACGTGATTTGAGAACAAGTCTGATGACGAATTGTGAGATAAAATGACATTTTTAAGTGATTTTATAATTTATTTACTGATAGCGTAATATTAAATAATTATTCCATTACTTAATTGACATGTTTGAAAAAATATATCACAAAAATGTTGGTATATTTTTAAGGATGCAATATTTTATATAGTGAAATTTAAAAACTAAAGCTGAGTTAATCAACAAAATTAATTAATTGACCTAGTATAATTAGCAAATATCCGAGTCATAAACTAATTCGTTGAAAAGAAAATAATAATTTAAAAAATGTCTTAATATTCTTAGGTTATTATTTATTCCAGTTAAATTAAATAGTTCGTCAAACAAAATTTTAAACTTACTTTTAAACAGCTACATTTTAATACGTGCCTGAGTTAGTAATAATTATTTTTGCAGATACACATTACTTTCGTTATCTCCGTGAAAATGAATACACCTTATGTGTAAGTTGTATTTAATATTTCTTTTTGGAAGGAGCCTAAATTTATTACTTTGGTAAGCATGCTAGAGAAAATGTTTTGCTATAAAGCAGTAATCAAAAAAAATTTAGTTATATTTCTAATGAATTATATTATATGTTGAATATAAATACTGATTATTAAAATGTAATTTAAGAGTGTATAAATAACTAACTAGGTGCTAGCTCTACACTATTCTAACAGTGTAGATTTACTTAGTTTCAGAATGGTCTATCTACTTATACTTATTTGATGGAGTTGGGCTATTTCTTTTTTTTTCAACAAAAAACTAATTTTGACGAACCTTGCTTGACCAGATTTATGCAGTTTTTGGTTATTGATTAAAAAAATTATGAACTTAACTATATTGTCATTGATCTAACAATAACTCAGGTCTCCCCATCATTGATAGCAATGTTCATTTTTAAAATAAAATGATGAACAAAAAAAATCGAAAATATGGAATTTTTTAGATATTTTTATTCTGGCCCCCGTTATGAAATGATACGGCCCGTGTCGTTTCGTTATACACGATGCCCCGCGACTCGTGACACCTTTATCAGCCGTCGCCCTACTTTATGAGTATTTGACTGACCAACACCGCATGTCATACGCCACGGTGCCAAGTCCAGCAAGTGTCGCACGGCCGACGACGACCCGCCGCAAATGATACGAGAGTCTTCTTCCCGTTGTGAGAGTGACAACGTTGACGAACCGATCCGCACCCGCGCACCGTCGCCATCAACGCTGCTAACCTTTTGTCGCCCAAGGATCACGCCGGACATCGAGTCGTCGACGCCAGGGTAAGTGCCGTGATATTATGCCAAGATTATTATTATTGTGTTTATCTTTTCGGATTATTTTATTTTTTTGTTAAAATAACCTGTTGTTGCTCATTAATATTAATGAGGGTCTCTACCCTCAAAACCAGTGTCGAACACATTTTTGCGACGTAAGTCCCAAAAACCCAACCCGGTGAGAATCTCAACCGGTCTTACATTGGATTAAGGTAAGAAAACCAGTTGCTGACTTGATTTTTATTTTTCAAATAAGACAGCTAGGCTTCCTTAATATTCACTTTTCTCCAAATTATTTCAATCACACAGTTCACTGGTGACAGCAGTGAATTTCCCACCCGGTCATATAGATACTATCCACTGCCCGAATAATAGATTTCCACTTTCTGTGTATTATTAAACACGGTACAAGTGGATTTCTGGCGATTACTGTATCTATATTCACACCCGCATCGACAATACACTCGTTTAATTGTTTCGATAAAACCGCTAGGCAGGTGGGGTAATCAAACGTACTATCATACCATAGCGAGATCGTTACATTTAACAACCGGGTCCCATAAAACCGTTTGTATTATTAACCGAACCGCTAACCACTTGAGTACTGCCGCACAAACACGTCCGCGTAAAATTACTACTCCCGCCGTGGAGCTGGAATTTAACAACGGCTTTGTGACAGCCTTGCTTGACTCATAAGCGCAAAAATCATATGCCACTCGAGCAATAGCTCACAAATTTGGAATTGTGCACAACGGACAAACACTCCCGGTTAGGTCAGCTGACGGTTACACAACAGACACGGTCGGCACAGTTACCTTTATAACAAAAATAATAAAGTTAAAAATGTACAATACAAATTCGAAAATTTTCACACAAAAATAGCTTTTGATAGCCATTTTCACCGTGAAGACAAAAAGAAGTCCGAAATTTTTTTCCATAATAAAGTACATTATATTAGCTTTAATTTAAGATGTTTATAAAAATGTCAGATTTTCCGGAACACTTTCAAAATTTAAGTTAAAAAAATTAGATTTTTTGTGAAAAAGTTGTAATTTTGAATCTCCCCTGTAGGCAGGTAAAAAGTCAGATTTATAAAAAAAATATACTAAATGATAGGTAAAGACATCATGTATCTATAAATAAAAGAATTATATTGATCCATACATCTTTCAAAAAGTTATAACATTATAAAGTTAAAAATATAAAAAAGAATTTTTTTACAAAAATCGTATTTTAGCTTCGATGCGAAGCTGAGAAGGTATTATTTTTACTATGATGTGTTTTTTTTTTTTTTTGTGTCTGTTACCACTTTTTCTCAGCTCTCACCGAACGGATTTCTTTCAACGATACGTCAAAAGATCACAAATTGTATCTAGTCGAAGACATTACCCTTCAAAATTGAAAAAATTTCCCTCGTTCCCCGTAAATGGGGGAAACCTCCAAAAAAATTACAAATTTAAAAATCGCTAATTTTCGAAATTTTTTCAATTTTTTTTACTAAAAACTGCCATAACTTTTTCAAAAATGAACATATCAATATAATTTTTTTTTATATAGATGCTTGATGTCTTTACCTATCATTTGGTATATTTTTTTTGTAAATCTGACACTTAACCTGCCCACAGGGGGGGATTTAAAATGACAACTTTTTCACAAAAAATTAACTTTTTCAACTTAACTTTTGAAAATGTTCCGGAAGGTCTGACACTTTTATATATATCTTAAATTAAAGCTAATGTAATGTACTTTAATTTGAAAAAAAAAAATTTGACCTCTGGACTTGTCTTCGTGGTGAAAGTTGACATCAAAGTTAATAAAAAATTACGATTTTTGTAAAATAATTTTTTTTTATATTTTTAACTTAATAATCCTCTAACTTTTTCAAAAATGAACATATCAATATACATTTTTTTTATATAGATGCTTAATGTCTTTACTTATCATTTGGTATATTTTTTTTGTAAATCTGACACTTAACCTGCCCACAGGGGGGGATTTAAAATGACAACTTTTTCACAAAAAATTTACTTTTTCAACATAACTTTTGAAAATGTTCCGGAAGGTCTGACACTTTTATATATATCTTAAATTAAAGCTAATGTAATATACTTTAATTTGAAAAAAAAAAATTTGACCTCTGGACTTTTCTTCACGGCGAAAATGGCTACCAAATGCTATTTTCGTGTGAAAATTCTCGATTTTATTATTCATATTATATTTAACTTTATAATGCTATAACTTATTGAAAAGTTTATTATCCACACAATTTTTTTATGAGAAATAATATTTTTTAATAAACCTTTTTTCATTTGACATACTTTATCTTAATCGAGATATTAATAATGAACCAGCAGATCAAGTAGCTTTTGGAATAAAACACCATTTTTTTTAAAATTAAACACTATCTAAAGATTTGCATCGAAGCGTTTATTTTTGATAGTGATTTTAATCACTGTCAGATATCATTATACTTGATCCAACTATGGCACGTCACCACTGTGCCGCGAACCCCCTGTTCTGGGTTTTTTTTTTTTATTAACTTTGATGTCTGTTTCCACCATGAAGATAAAATAAAGTCCGAAATTTAGTAATTTAATAAATTTAATAAAGTATATTACATTAGTTTTAATTTAAGATATATATAAAAGTGTCAGACTTTCCGGAACATTTTCAAAAGTCAAATTGAAAAAATTAATTTTTTTTGAAAAAGTTGTCATTTTAAATCTTCCCTTGTGGGCAGGTAAAGGGTCATATATAAAAAAAAATATACCAAATGAAAATTAATAATATCATGCATCTATTTTAAAAAAAATTATATTGATTTGGTTATTTTTAAAAAAGTTATGGCACTTTAAAGTAAAAAAAATTTTGAAAATTATTTTAAATTTGTAATTTCTGTGGAGGTTTCCCCCAAATACGGGGAATGATGGAATTTTTTTCAATTTTTGAGGGTAATGTCTTCGATAAGATACGATTTATGATCTTTTGACGTATTATTGAAAGAAATCCGTTCGGTGAGAGTTGAGAAAAAGTGGTAACAGGCACAAAAAAAAAAAACACAACATAGTAAAATTAATACCTTCGCATCGAAGCTAAAAGATAATATAAAATGGCGGCTATTGAACGTTTTTCGACTATTCTATTTGTGTCTTCACGTTGATGGTTGACCTTTACTTTTAATAATATAGGCTTTTAGTGAGTTGAAAAATGAAGTGTTTAGGCATCCAAAATTAATTTCATAGCTAATTTATAGCTGCGTAAATGTTCATATTTAAGTCATCAAACAATAATACCATAATTTGTATATTTAAAAATAAAATGTCTACTTTATGTTTTATAATGACTAATTTTTTATATAAAAAAATTTGAAACTATTGAAAATTGATGTCATGTGATAATTTTAATCAGATAAGTTCACAGAATATTGTTTCGAAATAGTTAGAAAAAAACTATTATTAATGACTTAAAACAAAAAAATGTATTTCTTCATAGTTCCTGAGAAAACATCATAATTTAGTCTTACTATTTGTGAAAAAAATAAAGTTCTTCTATAAACAAAAATCATTAGATGACTTATCAAATAATACTTGAATATTGAGCTTATTCTCATAAAATACGTCCAATTATGATATTATAAAAATCAAACATAGTCTTTATATAATAAAGCAGCAAACACATCTTTTAAAAAATAGCTTCATACCATAACAATAGTTCATTAAACAATCATTGAATTCCAATGTATGTTATTAGCTAAATCACTTAATTGTGCATATGTTCAATACGTTATTAAATAATTATTCCTAATATCTAAACAAAAATTGTGTATATTATAAAAACAAATTTTTTTTGTACTGCTCTGATAATAAAATATATGTTAAAAAAACTGCATAAATTTGTATTAATACTTTTCATTAATATATTAATAATATACACATATATGTGCTTATTAATTATTAATTGGAGTATAAATAAACTAAAAAGGGATAAATTTTAATGTTGAAGAATGCTAACAAATTTTAGGACTTACGATAAACGTACGTAAAATCAAAAACATTCACAAAAATAATAATTAAAGTTAAAACTTCAAACTACAGTATATTAGTGTAATAAATAAATACCATGTATTAGAATTTTTTTTGTTCTCCATTAAGGCATCCAAAACTTATTTATTCACAAGACTCAAACGACAGGAATGTAGTTTAAAATATTTAACAACTACTTTTTCTAAAATAAAAGCCATTAAAAAAACACTCATCCATTAACTAAATTTAAAATATAATACTTATTCTATTTTTTATGTTTTATTCGTATATGTTATATATCAGTATATACTGATATTCATTCAAGGTGTTTTGTAAACAAACATGTAAAGTATAAAGTAATAAATAAAAAACTATTGTTGAACATTTTATTTTTTTAACTCATTGATATGATTAATATTTTTTATTACATGAAATATTTTTAATAATTATTATTTTTATTATTTAACAAATTTAGTACAAAAAAATAACTTATACATTTATTGATTATTATTACCAAAAAGATTTTGATAAATTTCATTCAAATGAGCCATAAAAATGTTAGTTTCAGTAAAGTATTCATCAGTATACCTGGCTATAAATTCGTACTTAGTTTCATTTGCATTAGGTCTTTTACCAAATAAAAAATCGAGAATTTCCAAATTTGGGATATTATTTTCGTTTGCATATCTACAATGTCGTTTCATATAATTATCTGCATTTTTGCTTAATATAGATAATACATAATCAAGGTAATTCTGAATACCAACCACTTCTATTGGACCTGACTTAAGTGGATTGTCAATGAATGTTTGTGGAATTCGTTGAAAGTTTTTTTGTTTAGGACTAAGTAGACTAACGTACTGAACTCCTTCTTGTATAGAAACTACCAATTGTACCAATTTTTTAATAAAACTGTTAAGAGATTTTATTATGTATTCATTTAAATTTCTCTTACATTCTTCCATTAGATAAAATATATAATAAGTAATAACGGTTATTCTTTCAGAATACTTACAGTAAACAATATATGGCAAATTATAATTAAATTGTACAAGAAAATTATATGCTTTTGATTGCTCAACTTTATTTTCATAGCCGATTGCTGATTGATATGCTTGCTGTCTTAAGTCATCATAGGATATAAAATTCACGCCATCAAATTTAATACTGACTCCATCAAGTTGTAAACTTCCCGCAGAGTAAACAAAATTCTGAAGAATATCTTGCATTTTAATATCACATGAAACTTTCTGAGCATAATATAAAATGTTCAACACCAAATAAAGGCACCATATAGTTACAATCATCAATTTCAAATTTTTTTTACTAGAATTATATATTGTACACTAGAAAAATGTAATAAACCAAAAAGAAAAAAAAGAATAAAATTTAATTTAAATTTGCTTATTAATGGTTAGAATTTAGAATTATAAGATAAGATGAAGGTGATGAAATAGGCGGTAGGTATTGGAGACGAATGGTAATAAAAATTATTAAATAAGAAGGTAAATGGCGGAGTAACACATGTTTAAATGTGGCAAGATATGTAAGGGTGCAAAGGATATAATGATACGAATAAAGAAGAATTCAGAGGGGTGAATAAACGGAGTTTAAATACATGAGGGTAATGATCAAATAAATAAAAATGTACACAGACGTTGTGACAAAAATATTGAACTGATCTCGGGGTTGAACACTATTGAATAAATGAAGTCAATTATCCTACCAAACTTTATTACCTATCTTAATGGTTTATTACGCAATAGAGTATTTATAATTTGAAAGCGAGAATTTAAATTTGTACTTACCTTGGATCCCACGTAGTGTAATGCTTCTTTTAGACAATCCAATGTTGATTATGAGTTTACACTGTATTTCACACGTTGTACACTTTGAGTTCGACAGTAAATATGACCGTTTGAGAATAAAGCATTTAATTATAAATAATACGAAATCGTTACACAAAATCTATGACTGTATTATTATATACAAGAGATTCTGTACACTCTATATTTTTATAATTATAATCAAATAATGTATCTTTAGTTGACTTTGTAGAATGAGTATATTTTTTGAGATTATATTTTATTGAGAGATCGACACCAATATTTCTTAAATTTTCCTCTGGCCTGGCCAAAACAAGATTCAGAAATATTTATATCTATGTAAAAGATTTGTCAAGGCGGAATTGTGGTGGCCCAATGTGTCCCGGTGCTAAATTAAAGCACCTTGAAAGGATGCGGCACAATAATCACCAAGACAAAAATTAAACACTAAAAACATATATTTGTAAGTTTCTCTGTGCTGTCTGCCGGCGCGATGTTTGTTAAGACAAAGACATTAAACCACAGAAGATTAGCTACCCAATACACATAGGCTTACAAATATATTCTAACCTAACACCTAACTTTAAAAATATTTAATTGCAACCTTTACTCTGTCTGCCGGCGCGATGTTCGTTAGAACAAAGACATTAAACCACAGAAGATTAGCTACCCAATAAGTATAGAGTTGCAATACACTTAGTCAGATAATAAATATTTATCATTAACTGAGAAAATTAGAGTTGATTCGGTTTTATTATATAAAAAAAATGTTTTATTTTAAAATATTAATTGACATTTATTTCCATGGTAAAATAAAAATAAAAAAAACCCAGCACAGTGGGGTCGCGGCATAGTGGGGATGTTGCATAGTTGGGTCCAGTATAGATTTAATCTGACAGTGATTAAAATCACTATCATAAGAAACGCTTCGATGCAAATCAGTAGATAGTGTTTAATTCTAAGAAATTGGTGGATAATTACAAAAGCTACATTATCTGCTAGTTTCTTATTAATACCCTGATTAAGATAAAGTATGTCGAATGAAAAAGGGATTATTAAAAAATATTATTTCTCATAAAAAAATTGTGTTGATTCGTACACTTTTCAATGAGTTATAGCATTATAAAGTTAAAAATGTAACCAACCCAACCCAACATCAACTCCTATTTCCTTAATTATATCCAGATTAGTAATTATTTTAATTATATATTATATAATTTTTATAATTAATTATTTTCAAATTATTATTGATTTTTAATATGTTAAAAGTAATCATTTTGAACCTACTTCTTTTTGTTCTTTAAAGTGAAAGTTTTAATAAAAAAAAAATGAATTTATTACCATAACTTTTAACTCAACTTGCAAGTTTGAAATAAATATTATTAAATAGAAAAAAATGAAATTGGTAGATTATTTCAAAAACAACAATAACACTTATTCCCTTAATTTTACCCCGATTTATAACTATAATATATGAATACATAATAATTACAGTAATTAAATTGAGTATGAAAGTGGTATTCAATAATATAATATTGTAATTTTTACGGAGATATTATAAAAATAAAAAGGAGTTGTATATTCATATACTTTTAATGCGTATACAAATTTAAAGGAATTTATGCAATACTTTTTAATAAAAAAATTTTGTTACTTATGAATAAATACACTAAACAAAAGGAACTTTCATCAGAAAAAAAATATACTTTTCTAAATAAACTTTTCGTGATGTTTTCAAATGTGCAATTAAACTTTTTCTATTACTTCTAAGTTTTAATATTATTACTTATTATTAAAAAATAAGTATTTACATATAAAAAAAAATAATTAAGAACAAAAAAAATTGTATTAAATTAATACTGATTTTGATTTTTAATATGTTAAAGGTAATCATTTTGAACCTATTTTTTATTGTCTTTTAAAGTGAAAGTTTTAATGAAAAATACCTTCTCAGCTTCGCATCGAAGCTAAAAAATGAATTTGTTACCATAACTTATAGTTCAACTTGCAAGTTTGAAATTGACATTATTAAATTGAAAAAAATGAAATTTTTAAGATTAATATGCAATCTGGAAATTTTATAATTACTAATTACAGTACATTTGTCAGAAAAATTCGATTTTTTTACATTTTTATCGTAATAGATAACTGAAATAGAAAGAATAGTAATCATATCCTAATAACTTTTGGTGTTTAAAAAAATTCTGCAATTGAAATATTCAGAACTTAATTAATTTTAATAATTTACTTTAATTAAATGAACCAATCAAACCAAAGTAGTTAAAAAGATTTACTCAATTGAGCATATTATCAAAAATATAATTATAATTGTAAAACTCCATCGTTAACTTCAGGTGAAACTAAAAATCATTTTTTTTTTAAATTTATGATTTATATAGCAAAATATTACTAAAAAATTTGGCATATTATAGACTGGTAGTAGCACACAGAAATAGAGTTAAAAAATTAATAAATTATAAAGTAAAATTATTTACTTTTGTAGTTGAATACTTTTATCATATCAAATTTAATTCGACAATAAATAATTTAAGAATATTAAAAATTAATGATTTTAATTGTTTGTATGGACAAATCTAGTTAAGCTACTTTTTATTTGAATAAGGAATATTTTTTTGATTTTTAAGAGTAATAACTTAAACTAATCATTAACTTAAATATCATAAACTTAAATGAATCATTTGACGTATCGTTGAAAAAAGTAGGTCTAGTGAGGGTTGGCAAAATAAATCGTAGCCAGAAAAAGAACCACATAGTAAAATAATATTAACATGAATATCAATTTCTTCTCACGAGGGGAGACTATAGTGATAAGATCCTTTATATTTATTGAAATTATTGAATCTAAATGAGATAAATATCAAATGATTTGAAAATTCTATTCTAACTCAAAAAAAAAATGCAAAATTTTAGAAGCCACAAACGGATTTGAACCTCGTACCCTAGGCGTTAAAGATCAAGGTGTTACCCATTCGGCAACTATTCGTTGATTTTTGTTGCATGATAAAATTGGCTATTTAAGCTAACTCAAATTTAAAAATTACTTTTTCGACTTTAAAAAAGTAAAAAATGTTAATAAGTATAATATCATATGTCTTATGAACTTTATTCTATGTCAATGAAATTATATAATATTCATGAAAGTCAGTTTATTCCCCTAATAAAATATTTTAAAATAAAATAAAATACAAAACCTAGAATTTTAATAAAAAATAGCATATTTTTAAATACGGTAGCCTTTTGCGCATAGAAGATAGGTCGTCGGGACAAATTTTTTTTTTTCATTTAGTAGTACATAAAATAAGCTTTAATTTGATATATGTTTAAAGGACGCAGTATTTCCGGAACATTTTCAAAAATTAAGTTGAAAAAGTTAGTTTTTGTAAAAAAGTTGCTATTTTAAATCCCCCCTGTGAGCAGAATAAGTGTTAGATTTTCAAAAAAAAATGATATCAAATGAAAGAAAATTACCTAAGGTTTCAATATAAAGAAATATTATTTTGATTAGTTAATATTTGAAAAAGTTATGGCAGTTTTAAGTACAAAAAACATCGTTATAAAAGGTGATTTTTATCGCAAATATTACATTTTTTTTATAATTTCGACAGCCATTTGCACATAGAAGATAAGGTGTCGGGACAAATTTTTTTTTTTCATTTTATAGTACATAAAAAAAGCTTTAATTTGATATATGTTTAAAGGACGCAGTATTTCCGGAACATTTTCAAAAGTTCAGTTGAAAAAGTTCTATTTTTTATACAATGTTTCAAAGTTTGAACCCCCCCTATATAAGGGGAAATTGTCTAATTTTAATAAAAAGTATGTCAAATGGAAGATGTACTTATAATGTATTTAGAAAAAAAAAAATTGTGCTGATACATGCATTTTTCGAAAAGTTATAGCATTTTTAAGTTGAAAATTAAAAATTGAAAATCGAAAATTTTAACACAAAAATAGTGTTTTTTTAACTACGGCAACCGTTTACATGCAGAA